AACTACAAGAAACGTCTGACCTCTGTGATTGCCAACAAGGGTTTTGCCACCAAGTACTAAGTCATGTTTTGCAGGGGGGTCAAATACTTATTTCCCTCACTAAAATGCAAATCAATTTATAACATTTTTGACATGCTTTTTTTCTGGATTTTTGTTCTTGTTATTCTGTCTCTCACTGTTCAAATAAACCTACCATTAAAATTATAGACTGATCATATCTTTATCAGTGGGCAAACGTACAAAATCAGCAGGGGATCAAATACTTTTTTCCCTCACTGTACATCAGGGTTCAGTCCATGTTGGACCAGATTTTCAATTATTGTTAAGGTGTCAGGCACTGGGACCTTGGTGAACAGCGAGACCACATCAAAGCTGGCGAGGATATCGTCAGGATATAGTACAGCGTCCTTGACCATAGAAACCAATTGGGTTGAGTTAAGTACCGCTGAGGTGGTCTTGCCAGTAAAGGGAAGCAGAGTGTCCGAAAAAAAGCGGGCTAGTTTGTAGGTAGGGGAGTTGCTCGTGGACACGATGGGTCGTAGTGGGGTACCTTCTTTATGGATCTTGGGAAAACCATAGAATCTGGGAGGTCTTGCAGCTGTGGGTTTTAGGGAGGGACATTTAGTTGGTTCGATTAGGGAAGTCGAATTCGTGATGATCCTGTTGGTCTGTATCGTTAGGCTGTTAGTAGGATCACTTTTAATTTTTGAGTAACTCCCATCATCGAGTAGGTCCTGGATTTTGTTGTTGTATGAGTTTTTATCCATAATGACAGTGGCATTGCCCTTGTCGACCGAGAAGTTGGCTATATCATCCCTCTTTTTTAAATTCGCGAGTTCAGAGCATTCGTTTTTGATAATGTTGCTAATGGGTTTCTTAGCATTCTTAAGAATAGTGGCTATTTCAGCTCTCGCAACGTCTGCTTGGATGTGTCCTATGCCTTTGAGGGCTACATTGACCTGAGAGATGATATCCTCTACTGGTATATGTTTAGGGGTGACAGCGAAATTTAGTCCTTTAGCCAGTACAGTTTTCAGATTGTCCGAAATCAGGATGTTACTCTGATTAATAACGATTTTGTTAACGTCTAGTTTTGTGATGTGTGGTCCTGGATTCTTCTTTGATAGGAGGTTGAATTTAGCGATCAGGTTAGCTTCGCATTTGACCGACAGTGAATCAGCAGAGGCAGCAGTCATGTTGTCAACGTGGTTCCAATCAGAAGGGGACATTTTTTGTGTTAACATTAAATGTGATTATAGGAGAGTCCTGTCTAAACTATCGAGTTCAAATCGGAGTAACCTTATTCTCTCTGAGATTAGTGATAGGCTAGCTTAGTTGTTTTTATTTTATTTTACCTACGTGACTTTACCGAAAAAACCAAAGAGTATGAATCCTTGCAGTCACGAAAGCTTCAAATCTAGAATTAAAGTCAGTGTTGCATTAAACTAGGGTGGAGTTTAATAGATCATATTTGCACAGTCAGGCAACAATACTTCCAAGCCAACACGTTATGAATTATTGTTTTGCCTTTTGGCAAGTGCTGATAGGGGTCCCCCTGGTGTAAAGGTACATGCCCTTTCGATATGTGGGCTTCCCAGAGGCATACAGCAGCAGTAACAATTGATCACTTTACTGATGAGTCCAAATGAGGACAAAACATCCAACGGTTTTCTTTTGGTTGCACAGTCTACCTATTGAGATGTCACATTCTTAATGTTTTTTGTCACTCATAGGTGGAGTTTGACTTCTATATTCGGAGGGCAGGGGGGCGCGGGTTCGCTTTTTCCCTCACATTAGGAATTGTGGGTGCATACAAATATTTATTTTTAATCTTAATTCTAAATTAGTAAAGGTGGCCTCCTCGTGCCCCCCCCCACAAACCACAAACTCTGCCCTCCTCGTATGGTGTCACCCCTTCAGCTATTTTAAGTTCTTATCCATGCAGCGGACAGAGTGACTAATATGCATGTACACATTTACATGTATGCGCGCACGGTTTTCTACATGCGTTGCAGTGTAATGGGCCACGGACAATACAATGAGGCCATGACGTCCACACCGGAATGCCCTGGCCCACCTCTAGTTCACCACTGGTTGCAGGGATTTTTGTCCAGCACAGTGCCCTATCCATTCCTCTTGGCTCATTGAAGATACACATTTCTTTTGAAGTGCGGTGGAATGTTTTTTTTTTCCCCAAAAACGTTTCCACCAGCGAAACGGTTGGGAAAATGTGGAAAACGAATGATGGATGTCTTGGGCCCTTGGACTTATGTGTATGATAATGGAGTGATAACTCAGACTTTACCTTGAGCATGGCATCATGTTTTTAATTAGCGGTGGTGAGGCTGACCATTGGGGCATTGAGATGAGTTTCCTACAGCTAAGTTGCCCGTGATGGTTTCGGCAAGAGTGATGTTTTACTAAATGGCCGGACTTTAACAAAGCGTTTTAAATATAACTTTATGACATTTGATTACAGGTGTAGATGATGCTACGGATGTTATGGAAGTGTAGAGAAGTTCCAGATGCGTGCTTGTTCATTTTTTGGTGTTTGTTGAACGGACCGACACGTGCGCAGAGTCGCCTGGCAAATGCCCCGATCCACCATCGCCGCTGCCGCCTGTCCCTTCACCCTTGCCATTCCCCTTCAGCCCTCATAGCCAATCGCTTCCCACCCCTCCTGCCGTTCGCATGAGAAGGGGAGCGGGGAGGAAGGGGAGGTGTATATCGGCGACCACTGGACTGGTGCTTGTTCCAGATTATGTAATCAGCGTGCGTTTCCAACAACCGCTTGTGAAGCAGGCAGTTTAACCATTCACAATCCCTTTATGTGTTTGCATGCAGTGATGAGCGGTTAATTGTTAAACTTAATTTCGGGAAGTGCTTTGCAAGATCGCACAGAGGAATAAGCAAAAGTAAGCTTATAAATTCGGAATAGAATATGGAAGGACAGTGTTGGAAATGTAATCGGAACGAGGAGGTTGTGATGGATAGGCCACATGCGCAGGATGAAATGAGACAGGATTCAGGTATTCCCCTTGGTCAGGGATCAAGAGGAAGACCTACATCCCAATGTTGGTGAACAATAAGAGCAGGCCTTGGAGGTCAGATTTACTGCGCAACAACTGTATGACCTAGCAGACAGACAGAAGGGATGGCGAATTGAAGTAGCATTCGTGACATTGGGCCAAGATTAATTCTTGACGCTCTTGACCTTGAATTCAAACAAACGCATTTTTTTAAATTGATTGTAATCATTGATACCACTGTAGTACTCGTACATTTAGCTCCATTGTTGGAATTTTAAACACCGTTTGGACAGACCCTGTGTATACTACTGTACGCAATACTACAGGCGTGCACAATGTTCACCGGTGATTGCCCTTTGTGACTGTGAAAAAAAGAACATTTCCAGTAAGTTTTAATTTTGTTAAATGATTGGTCAGTACATAATAGGGAGCAGTCCGGGTTATCGCGCTTTGTGTTGCACCGTTTCCAATAACATCGGATGAGGGGGCTGCTGCCCTTAAAAAAAAAAACTCACTCTCATCCATAATCCACTCCCACATCCATTGATTTCCGTTGATTTAAATAATTCGTTCTTGTGCCTTGTGTTTTTTGTCTTGTATTTTCTTGGGAAAAAAAATATTTTATCTAAATATATTTAACACATACACAATGCACGTCAAGGGAATACTGGAATCCCACTGCTGGTCTAATGTCGGACTTCAATCGTTACGGCTATATAAATGCTGCTGTTGTGTATAAAGCTTGTTTTAATCATTCATTTTTGGAAATTCACAGAGGAATGAAGGGCCATGTTCCCGTTCTACTTCTTACAGCCATTCATGTTTGTTTTCCTGTCTGTTCATTGATTACATCACTACACATCCATTTTGGTCACTCCTCCATCGATTTCCTCCGATCATTACCCAATTTCACCACCAGTTTCAGCAATAAGTTTTCATCCTTTATAGCGATCCAAGTAATCACCGCCATTACCATTTATTATGTCCACAGAATCTTCTATTTTAAAATATATAATACAGCTTATAGCCATGATAATGGCTTCTCTTTGTAGTTTAAGCATTCCACGGTTCAAATCCAATATCAGCCCCTTGAAAAGGAAATGTAGGAACATCACATAGATACATGATTGACTAACTTGGCTGAACGTTAAAGAACCAGTCACGTTGTTACCAGGTTTGAGCCGGTGAAATTGTATTCATGGTCAAATTTGGAGAGTGACCTGACTCACTGTGCAGTATTACCAGATGTTCATTTCCAAGTGCATGTTGGCAATGGAAATCATATGCATAGTGTCTTCAGAAAGTCATGTTTTGATACTGTATGAATCCCATTTTATTATGCAAAGCTCAGAAACAGCATTGTTGCCTTATAATTATTGATAGAGCGTTTTTGTAACAATATAAACATATAACATAAAATATAAATATACAGACAAAAAGCAAAGCACCTTAAATACATGCTTTTAAGTGCTATGTGTGACAATGTTCATATTATTTAGGTATATCTCCAAATGTTCCAGCAGTGGCATAGTGTTTAGAGCACTCCACTATAAACCTTGTGGCCCTGGTATTTCCAGCTACAACTAACATCAGTGGTGAATTAGTTCTGAGCCATTCCTGGGCCCTCTCTTCACAAACCCGCACTGACCCGTGTGGCAAGTTATGGTCAAACAAACGGACTGTGAATTATTATTTACCAAATTATTATTTAGTAAATTTAATTGGACCTTTTCATAAAACCATCCCCATAAAACTCTCCAACACACAGGAGTGCTGAACTAGGAACTAATTGTCATGCGTTTTTACTTGACAAACCTTACTAATTGGCTGTATCGGGTGGTGGCAGGTTTAACAGCACATTTGTACTTACGCGACCTAACCCATAAAAACCTTTTGTTGAAAACCTTCCCCGTAAATATGTTAAAATGAGCCACATCCAGAGTGACTGTTGTCTGTTTTTTTTTCACACAGAGAATGACGTGGGCCTACGCGTGGAGGTGACGTGGCCTGACGGGTACTTCTTCTCGAGAAACCTGCGCAGAGATGAAATGAACTCACTGATTGAGATCCCCTACCCCGATGGAGAGAGCCAGCAGGACAGCGAGAGCAAACCACAGGTAAACGACACGATTGGTTTGATTGATCCGCTGATTTTATTTGTTTTTTGCCGGGTTAGAAACATTCAGCCTTAAAAATTTTTTTTTTAAGAATGACCCGCAGAGGACCTTGGTTAAACAAAATGAAGTTACAGCAGCGAATAAATGATAAGATTGCAGATGCTGAGAAGCAAACACATTCCAGGAAAACAACATTCAAGCACTAAAATGGCACGAGGTGCTGGATTTGGGAGGCGTAACACACATTTGAATTAATGACTGAGTTTAAATTCACAATGTACCTTCCACTTTGTTTCCCGAACAAAAGTGTGTTTGAGGGCAAATCACATTTGATGCCGGAGCGTTTTCCCACGCACATTTTCATTCACTACATCGAGGATTCAAATACCCTCCACGCTCTTAGGCCTGCCGACCAGGGAGTATGCAGGAATAGCCGTCTTTAGCTTGTCAAGTTACTTAAGACCGCTTGTGCTCAGAGCGATGTGGTTGGAGGTGAAACGAGAGCCCCTTTTTTGTCTATAACTCACGCACTATTCAAAATATGCCTGCGCCAAACCAGGCACGTCACCAGGGTGCAAGAAGAAAATTGCAGAGTTTTTTTTTATTCTTCTACATTTGGTCTGTTGAAATGTTTTAGATTTTTTTTTACTCTCGATTCAAATGGACAAACAACGCTCAGGGATGCGAGCCCAATTGACGTTTTTTCAATACCTTGAGCTGTAGAAGAGTGGAGCCACGTTTTTAAAATTTTGAATTTATTATATTTTCGCAATTAATAGGAGTTGACCATTAATTGTCCTATCTCGATAATTCCAGAAATAAAGTTGTAAACATGGAATGAAGACATTACCGAGGCTGTACTATTTGACTCTTCCCGATTCTAAATAGATAAAAAAAATGCAGGATAAAACTGATCATACCGCTTCTGTCATTATCTCTATATATGACGGTATTTGAAAGCTCATGTGCCTTGAAACTTTTTTGTAAAAGGCACTTTGTAAGTGCAAATTATTGTTATTATCTAAAATGTGGTGCAATTGTGAATACGCTTGAATAGAAGATGTGTTTAGGGAAATTGTGTTTCTCATCTAGAGTAGCACTCCGGATAAGGCGGTATGACCTGTTATAATAGTTTTACAACCTGAAATAAAATGTATTCCTTTGCTCCATTACATTTGTCTCACATTAAGAAATAATTGGCATAATTTTAACAATCACTTCATAGCGCAATTGGATATAGTGTAATACTGGCAATGGATTGGAGAATACTTACTGATAGTGCTGAACCATCTTGCATGGAATTAATGATTACATCACCAACGTCGTGTTTGGTCTGCTCATTGCGACTAAGGGACTCGTTAGCAGTAAGAGGCCTCTCTACCAGATTGGCGAGATGTTAATTACCTCACCTGGTATACAGGAGGTCGTGGGTTCAATCCTGACCCTGACGCTGCTGCCGGATGTTGCCCATCAGAGTGGCGATCGCCCGATGTGACGTTTCTACGGCCATCAGGAAGCGTTGCTGACTCAGGTCATGAACTGAGCTAAGCAGGCTTGGCTTGGCTTAGAATTCCATGGCAGCCTCACCGGACCGAAGTTGGCACCAGCTGTGATCTTTAACTGGGCCACGTGGACGCCTGCTGTATATTTGGAGTTTGCACGTCTTTCTCTCTCTATGGTTGTGTGGACTTTTCTCCGGGTCCTCCGGTTTTTCCCTCCACATTTAGAATCAACACGTGTTTAGAGTATTTGTCTGCTGTAAATTTCCACATGATAAACCACTTCGTTGAGCTATCATTTGTAGCCAGGTCGCTTCTGAAAAAAAAGCTTTTTAGCTCAGTTCGTGTTACCTGATGAAATAAATAACAGTTTTAGTTTAGTTTTCAGCTCAAGCTGAGTACATGCGATGTGTGCCCACTGCCGCACATTGCTTCTGCTTCTACGAGGCTGTAATGCACGGTGTTGTGGGCAGAATTCGGCGAGGGATTGTAGCGAACAATCTCGCCTTGACTCTTGAATAATGATTTATATTTCGAGTGAACTGCAAGGATTGACTCACAGCAGATACAGTTAAACACTTACATGGAAGATACAAAACATCAGCAACAAGTACTCCATGATTTGTTTCAGGCACGTGTATGCCTATTAGCTGTTCAAAAATTAAGATAAATTATCTTGGAAAAAGATGTCAGCTCATTTTGAAACAATTAGAAAAATAGACACTTTTTAGCTGCAATTGTGTACTTGCATTTACTATTTTTGAGTGTTTTGAAACACAGGGGTTTTTCAACACTATATCGTATGCGGTGTGTGACTTCATGAGACTGCAGTAAGAGCTGTGCACACACGCATGGAGTAGGACGTATGCAGATATGGAGACGTGAAGAGAGCGTGCGAGCACCCATTAGTATAAAATGTAATCTCTGCATGTCATTTTCAGGCAATTTTTCTGAATTTTTCTGGTATCGAAATGTTGGAGATTTCTGGAGCGTTCAGAGGGATGCAATGCAAATTGTCAGTAATACACCGGCAGAAAGTTTCAGCACATTTGTAGACACTTTTTTCTTCTCATGCCCACCCGAACCTGGGCCACTCCATAATTGCCGTATGCTTGGGCCATATGTAGATTGTCAAATTTTGGAATGGGTCTGACTATACATTAGCACATTTCACCAATAATGACCAATAAAATAGGCCCCTGTAATGGGCTTATACCTGGCCAAACTTTATGTTCTAACTCGCTCAACCATAGGACAGTCAATCGTAGTTTCCCATCCATGCACTCACACCTTATTTGTGATAATTAATATTTTATTTGGTTGAATATTCATTGCATCATAATAAGTATGCACGAATAGCAAATGAAAAGAAAAGCACTGAGGAAGGACAAGGTTTGAGTTTTGTCATCTTGAACAAAGATTTACATCAACAGGTCCCATCGTTCAGGGTCAACGATCGCATTGTCTTGTGATCCGTAATGCCTGAGCACATTATTTTGCAATGCGCAATCATAGGTGTAATCACGTGCTTTGCAATTTCGTACATGTGTAGTGGATTCGAATTAGGTGCACACACAACTTCTTGGGAGGCAACACTTATTTATTTAATTATCACAACAGTTATCTATTACATTACGCATAGGGTGGTGACCACCGACTTACTCTAGATAACACACACTTCTTAGATACTCTAGGGAGGTACAGCCTCCTGTCTTGGTGGGACTTACACGTCTACCGCTATCCTAGAGTCTTCCGGCTTTGACCTACACACGGATCTCTTCTTGGCATCTTCACGATACATCTTCGTTCTTGATACGGGCAGCCTCGAACCTCGTGAGGAGGCTGATTAATGGGCCTCGGCGTGCCCGGGCCCCGCCCCGGCCACGCCTCCCTTCGAGAGCCCTCTTGAAGCCCCCCCCCCTGCTGTCCACGTGCCCCCCGAGGTGCTCCCTAGGCCCCCGGCCCCCACTGGGGTCCAGTCACGTGTCCAGTCGAGGTCACAGAGAGTGCCACGACCTCACACCACCCTCGTGGCCTCCCGAGTCCAGAACCGGCCCTGACGTCATTCCCGCCGCCAGCCGGGATGACGTCATGTGTGTGTAGACCCGCGTGGTCGTGACGCTCCCCCGCATAGTGACGTCACACGTGTGCGTGTGTACACAGTAATGATGCTACCATCATGCTACCATCACTACACATGTAAAAGCCACTTTTCTGGGAGCAATTTTCAAATCCTGAACCAGATCACTTGTTTCTTGGGCCACCTGTGATAACTAAAAGCACTTCTCAAATTAACTTGTAATAAATTTTGACTTAAAACTTTCGTGACTGCAGGAATTCATATTATTTGATTCTTTCGGTAAAGTCACGTAGATAGAAATATATTAATAAAGTGAATACAACAATAATATAATATATACAAGTTTCAATCACAACACAAGCAGTCGTCATCAGAAAAAGGCGGTTAGCCTCTAAAGGCAAACTGTTTATAAAGGTTTAAAATGGGCGTAGCCCAAGTGTCAGCAGCATGGGGCAGGGCAGCTGATGTTAATGTAAGTGATGGTAGTAGTGGGCAACGACGGCACTGGTGGTGGGTTTCCACCAATTAAAGGGCTGCCAGGTAATCATTGCACCTTGCTTTACGCACTCACACTGTTGACAGTGGAGGTTGCTGCTAGAGGTGAAGGTAGTAGTGGGTAATGATGGTACAGGTGGTGGGCTTCCACCAATAAAGGGCTACTGCTAGTGGTGATGGAAGTAGTGGGCAGCAATGGTCCTGGTGGTGGGCTTCCACCAATTAAAGGGCTGCCAGGTCTATATTGGAAACATTACAGCCAGTTATGACTTGAACTGGTTGATAACGTCCTTACAGTGATTGCTGAGTTTGTACCCATCTTCTCGGTTGAAATCGTGTCTATGTATATATCGATGGCTGCATGAACGAATTTTTGCTGATAGCCAGTGGCTTTGCAAAGTACCTTCGTCTTAGAGAAATCAATTTCGTGTGAGCCAGCCGCATTAAAACAATGATCAGCAACGGTAGAAGTAATGGTCCTACCGTGTTTCAAATCTGCCTTATGCTCACGAACACGGTCTGAGACATGTTGCTTAGTTACCCCATAATAACTGCTGCCGCAGATACAGCTTAGGTTGTAGACACCGGGATATTGCATGTCAGGGATCTTGTCCTTTACAGATGGGATCAGATCACGAATTTTATGTATATTTGTTCAATCGGACCTGGATCTTGTGTTTGTTCATGATTTTGGCAATCTTTTTTGTTACCCCTGCTATGTATAGCAAGGTGATGGTTTTTATTGGATCCTCAGATGGCTCCTTCCTCATGGTTGGGGTGATGGCTTTGCGGATTGTGTAGTCAGAGTATCCATTCGCCTTGAGAGCTTTGTGTACATGTTTGAGTTCACTGGTTAGGTGTTCATGGTCGGAGATACATTGAGCTCTATGGTGTAGAGTTTTGATGAGGGAATTCTTCTGGGATGG